GGCGCGGTGGGGGAAGCGGCGGTGGCGTGGTCGGGGAAGAGGTTTTCGACGAGGTCGTTGTAGTCGACGGAAGGGTAGAGGTTGGGCTGCGAAGAGGGTGGGTGATTGGGGTGGAGGAGGGGCGAGGGAGCATCGGGGTTCGAATTGATTACTTCGGGGTACAGAGAATTTCTCTGATTAGGGTTTTGTGAAGCCATTGGTGAAGGAAGAGTGGTCTGCAATGGAGTGTGGGATTTTTGAGGGCGCGAGAGGGAAAGGGATCGCGCCAATCAACACGTGACGCGTGGCGAAGGGAACAGGTTTTAACTTCCGCGTAAAGATTCCCGCGCGAATACCCGTAAGAACTTAATATTTAAATTACTTTTTCTCTTTCTGATGTTGAGTCAGAGGGTGCTCATCGTAATTCTGAAGATTGAAGATTGAAGAATGAGTTGTTTTGTATTTTTAACTCGCAACGTATTTTTAGAAGGATGAGAGAACACGGACTTGATTGTTTGATCTTGACTGGCAGTCAACTTGGTGTTTGTTTAGGAATAAGTTATGGTCTTTAAGGTGGTTGGGTTCGAGTCCATTTCAAAAGAAAATGGTTTGGATTAATTGAAGTTATGCTATTACGAGAATAATAGTAAAAAAAATGTTTTAAATGGGTGAAAAATGTTGTAAATAAGAAAAAGTTATAATATATATATGAATAAATATTTTTCAAATGTAAAATTTGTATTGATAGTTTTGAAATCCAAGTCAAATGATCTTCTTTTCCTATATTTACTTTATTATTTATTTTATTATATACTAGTGAGATTGAGGTACTTCGTACCTCTATTAAAAATAAAATAAAAATAAAATAATAAAAATATATTAATCTAATTAATATTATGATTAATCTATTAATTTTAAATTCTTAAATTTGATTAAAAAATATTTTTTTTTAAATTTTTTAAAATTAAAAAGATATAATGATAAAAAAAAAAGTAGAGACCAAGGTGGTTAGTGAAAAGGGTATCTTTTTTATATATTAGTATAGATTAAAAATACTAACTCACTCTACCAACTTCATTATCCCTATTTTCCATTATATGATAGATGAATTTTATACATATATTTTTCTTTTCTAAATTATCAATTTAATCTTCTATTTTAATAGAAATATTTAGTCTTTCTATATAAAAATATAATATTTTAATTTTAATATCTATTAATCATTAAATTTTATTTATATAAAAGATTTGTATTTGTATTGATTTTATCAAATTATTGATATTTAATTTATTATTAAACCCATACATATATATATATATATATATATATATATATATATATATATATATAGCATCATCACCCACAAAAGAAAATATAATAAATCTAATCAACATAGGCATGTCTGAATATAAGCTTGAAGGGGTTACCCTAATCTTTTTTCCTATAGATAAAGTAAATAAGTTATTTTACCATATGATTAACTAGGTATATATTTATACAAAGTTTTATATTTGATAATTAGTTTTAACATTGGAAGATGGTAACAATTGCTTCTTATTTATGCAAAGTTTTTAATGCCACGATTTGTGATTTCACAGATATTTTATAATGGTCATGCTTTGAATTGATACCACTATCTATTTTATAGCACGAGTTACTATAAAGTTTATTATTATTTTTATTATAAGGTTATTTATAGGTTAAATGAATATGTTTCTCTTTTTATTTCTTTTCTTAAAAGGCTAAAAACAATATATTCCACAACCAAATGTAATGAAACTAATTTTCAAAAAATGAAGTATCAGTTAAGGGACAATCCGTCGCACAGATAGAAATCAATATTTTTTATTCTAGAAAGTCATATTTATGAACCGATATAATTTTTAAGTAAAAACTTATAATAAATACACACAATAAATAAGAAAAGAAAGATATTATTATTGGCTAATTAGCTAGAATGAAACTAACAAAAGATGCATACACTTGCATAATTTTTCATATTGAAATAGTTCACACAACTGGACCAATTATACATGCATTCACTAACAAGTAACAAGTAATAACTGATGATGAGAATGGGCCTTAGTATGCATTCAAAATTCCATTCTTAACTGCATTCATCAAAGGATTCACGAAGTGATTGATATGATTATGCACTCATCAAATGATTCACAAAGTCATTGATATGATTATCAGAGCTGCCTCCTTCACTAACTGCTTCCCTAGACAACTTTTTCCATTTATTAGCATTCCTTCTAATCTCTAAGCTTCTCTCACCCTCCATTACAACCTTCAAACTAGTGACAAAGTCTTGCTTCCTTACAATTCCATTCTCATCCTCCTTAGGCCACACTCCCACTTCCCAAACATCCTCCAAAAACTTGGCATTGGACGATTGGTCAGTCCACTGTGGCAAACACACCACAGGAACACCAAGGCTAAGGCTTTCAAGGGTGGAATTAAAGCCACAGTGGGTCACAAAACAACCAATGGCTTGGTGAGTCAGCAATTCAAGTTGGTTGCACCATGACACAATTAGACCCATGTCTTTTACCAAGTCTTTATACCCACCAGGTAATTTACTCAGCTCAGAATCTCTTAAAACCCACAAGAAACTCACCCCACTTTCTTTCAAACCCCAAGCTACCTCTTCTATCTGTTCTGCTTTCACAGATGCCAAGCTTCCGAAAGAAACATACACCACAGACTGAGGGGGCTTTGTTTGTAACCATTTGTTGCATTCTTCATTTAGTGGCTTCCATAGACTTGCTCCATACCCGTTGTCCCCTTTAATCCTCCCATCCAAGTAGCTAGAAGGAATCATTGGTCCTATCATCTTTGCTGGAAAGAGATCGGTTAAGCCTGCCACTGCCTTTTAAAACCAAATCATCACCAACCACATCATAAACTCAATAAATTATACACAGGAAAATACTAAACAGCAAACACAAGAAATGGAAAAATAGTTAAACAACAACGATTTAATCTAGAAACTTTCAAGCTTTAGGTAAATTTCATAATTGGTTCACACTCTAATTAATTATAACTCATAATTTCTGCTTTATGTTCTAATTGTTTGAACTAGGTAAAACTGTACCTCTCCTTCTAAGGCTTCAAAGGTGTTTACAAATACCCAATCAGCTTTGTCCAAGTCAGAGAATTGGCTGAGCTTCATTGCCATGTAAGCAGGGTAGCTTTGTGGGAACTTCAGGAGACTAGGGAGAGCCCGGAAATCCAAGGGAGGAAGACCAGGAACAAGCAGGGGCAAGTCTTCCTTTTTGATAGGGAGTTCAATCAAACCATAGTGTATGCGACAGAATATGCTGCACTCTGCAGCTGAATTTGTAAAGAAAGTTGCACCATAAATGCCATGTTGCTTGGCCACATCAAGAGCCCATGGGAAAAACGCATCATTGACTATGCATGTGACGGGGTGGGGAGTTTGTTGGTACTTTTGTATGAGCTGAGACAAGGTTCTTGACCCGTTTGTTCTGAACGAGGTGAGGAAGAGTTCAACATTGTTGTTGGTTTGGGCGATGCCAGCCTCATCGAAGCCATCGGAGATTGGTTCCACGTTGATGTTTGGTGCGGTGATGGAGTTGACAGTGTAATGGGTGGTCGCAACTGTGGCCTTCACACCTTTTGAGGCTAACCTTTTTGCAAATTGTACAAGAGGGTTAATGTGCCCTTGTGCTGGGTATGGCAGAACAACCACATGGACCTTGTTGCTTTGTCTCTGTTGTGCCATCTCTGTTCTTGTGGGCCTGTGTAAGCCTCCTCCACCTCAAGAATCTAATTTATAGGCAAAAACAAATTTGAGGTGGTTTATTCCTTTATTTCATTCCTAGACTAGATTCACGAAATTGGAAGTTGACTGGTTTTACTCTTACTTCATTCAAGACCAAAAATAAATATAATTCCATAATAAGTGACTGTAAAAGTATAGACTCTTCTAGTCGGCTGGTTTTGAAAACTCTTACTTCATTATTTTATTTTATTTTTCGTTTTCTTTGAAAAGGTAGACTCTTCTAGTAATAAATAGAATATGAGGGAAAAAAATAGCATATTAAAATGGTTTGCATTTTTTTTTTGTACGAGACAGTTAAATTTAAACCATTGTTTTAATTATGAAAAGTTTTCAGAAGGTAAATTGCAAGTCTGCCGAGGACTTTTTTTTTTAGCATGTTCGATCAGTGTTCCAGAAGATACGAAACATGCAACTCAATACATAGGTTCATAGGTTGTTTCAAACAATCACAAGAGTGCAGCAGTATGATACCATCAGAAGGGTGCATTAAAATGACACTATCAGAAATACATCAGAATAACGCCAAAAAAAAAAAAAAGGTGTACCAAATTGAATGACACCAATCAAAATACTACGTTAATACAACATCACCAGCATTTGAATCGGAAGGGTATACATTAGTACGTTGCATCAGAATGGAACTTCAGAATAGTGAAGTCACTTAACAGATCGACTATCACAAAGGCAGTGAAAAAGTTATGTTGACAACTGCAATTATACAGAGCGGAAACGACCCTTCTCCAATAATTAATTTTTCATGCCTTTAAAAGGTGTTAGTCATCCAACCTTATGTAAGCTTTCAAGAGGAGAAAAATTCAAGTGATAAAAGAATACTTTTTTTGGGGTAGTTTACTGAATCTATGAGATTCTAAACACAGAGAAAGTTTCTTAAGTACATGAATCTCTTTGGGGGAGAGAAAACACTTATATATAGATTAGGCAATAGTTGAAGAAAGTGAATTGGAAGTGGGTAAAAAATCAGTTTTTGATGAGTTAGAGAGGAGCAAATAGATAAGAGCTAACGAGAAAGAGAAAGAGGAGTAGAATGTACCGCGTATGTAAGTGAAGGAGCTTGAGGTGTGTGTGATGCGTCACCAGTGGAGAAGTGGCAGAGAAGAGGTTGAGGTGTGTAGCATCTATCATGCATATGACAGTGTCCTTTTCTCTTTTTTTTCTTTCCATTTTTTAAATGGAAACGAAACTTCTGTTGCGTTGTGCGAGAGCTGACCTGACTATTTACTTTTTATTTATATAATTTTATATTTTATTATTTATAATTAAAATATATTTTTATTTTTTAAATTTTATAGTTATATAAATTAATTTTTAAATTGATGGATAATCATAAAATTATTTATATATTGATTTGAATTAATAAAATAAAATATTAAATAGTTTTTAAATTTTTTTAAAAATTTAAAAATTCGATCTATAAAAACTTTAAATTTAATAATTGAATTGTTAAAATTTGATGTAAAACATAAGATATTAAACAAAATAAATCTAAGTCTAGGTATCTAAACTTACTCCTAGATTACTCTAGGATCTCCCTCCTAAACTTATTGTTAAGAGTTAAGTTACTAAAACAACTGTAATTCATAAATTACTTTCGGTGGTGGAAGATAAATATTGTTTAAAGTAGTAAATTTTAAATCCTAAATTTATATTTTTGAAAAAATTGAAAGTTAAACTTTACCATTTTATATTTTCGAATGACTTTGTTACGAGAAACGAAACTGGTGTTGGCAACACGAGAAATTTTGTTTAAAAATCCCTAACTAGGAGGCCCTGCCACCTTTCCTGGAGTATTTTATGATATTTTATTTTCGTAACGGTCATTTACATATAATATCATATAATCTTCCTTTTCCCCATCTTTATATTGCAATTTATTTTTATAACTAATATAGTAGTATAGTTACTATTCCTTTTCCTAGATTATAAATATAAAGGTATATAAAAAAAAAAAAAAAAAAAAAAAAAAAAAGGACACTCCTTTTTTTTTATAACAAATTTACACTGGTACCAGTTTTTGCTGGTATAACTGGTGTTGGCAACACGAGAGAATGAGAAACCAGTGAGAGGGATTGAGGGAATGTGAAAGCGTAAGCGGGAAGACACGAATTTCACAGATAGTTCGAGGCAACTCCGCGTTTACCATTTTATCCTTCTCTTTCAAAACCATTATCTCAAATGGAAGATTGCAATTACCAGATAAACAAGTTGGTTACTTGATTTCTTATGATAAAATCTTCAAATTGAGTGCTTGGAGATTATAAAAAAAATGCTAATTAGTGTCTTAGCCGGTGAATAGCGATGGTCAAGGAATTAAAAACAGAATTTCTTAATTAAAAACTGTATCAACATTCAACACATTCTTTTGTGTTACTTTATTGTAATTTGTAATGAAAAGTTATACATATTGATTTGTTTTTTTTTTAAGTGTTCTAAGGATACTAGTTATCAAAACTCTTAGAATTTCAAAAGGAAAGTACGTATTTCCATGGGACCAAGCTCAATTACAAGGTTGACATTGCTGACAGGGCCACCCCTAATTCCTTCAGATTCATGCCCCTTGTCCCCTGCAACATTCCATGTTTTCTTCTTCATTTTTGACTTCTCTTGATTAGCTGATAAACTAACCTCGATCAACTGCTTTATCTGCATAATAAAGCACCAATCGTCCATAACTATTCACACGGATAGTAAAATTTATAAAAACTTGATCCAAATGCAAATGTTTTCTTTAGTGGGGTTGGAGCTAGGGAGAGAGCCTTGTGTACCGTTTTTGTGGCAAACATTTTCTTCAATTCAACTTTGGTCAAAGTTGAAAGGTGAGCATCTTCACCAGACTAATCAAATTGAAAGCATGAAAGAAATTGATGAGTAGATTTTCAGATGAAATAGCCACAACAGCAGAGTCAATACAAAACAAAATATTAAGAGGATAATGATATTACATTATTTTTATACCTCATATAGATGTGCTAAACGGAGAAGCACCATTCCATTATCCAACTCCTGCAAAACTCCCCAAGTTAGATAGAAAGAAAGATAGGTTCAAGTGTGTTATAGCAAGTCTTGCTGTAATTTAGTCTACCTCAAGAGTTATCAGAGCAACATTGAGAGGTAAGCTGTAATTAGGGTCAATTACAGTTCCTCTGGTCACATGAAAGGCCTTCCAATTTCCCATGTTCTGATAAATAAATCCCTTAGAATATGTAATATGTGGAAGATCAATCCCTGAATACATGAAGTAACTGTAGCTAAGTCATACCTCATGTGCAAAAGCCAACAATAGTGGTGAATAAATTTCCTGACCAGTTGTACGGCGCCAACGTGAACCAGCTCCGAGGTTGTGGATGCCCATATAATAATTTCCTCTTACCTTTATACAAAGAACAAAATATTACAGAAAGGGGATAGATATGGGAATTTCATACACTGTATTGTATATATGGAGAACATTGTAAGTTTGATTTGGCTTCCTTTTAATTAGGTACCATTTCCCCAGAACTAGGAGATATAGTATTTTATCTAACAAGCACTTAAAAGCACAAGTTCTTGCACCGTAAATTGTTGCAGAAACCCATGTTTGATTGAACTATACAAGATGTAAGCTTCTGAAATTTCATAATAGCTTTATACTTATATTCACTCTATTTTCTCTATAATTCCGGTCAACATGTACTGATGTACATCTTGGAAAACGGAAGAACATAGTTAATTTACAGTTTTTCTGCGATGGCCAGTGGAAATGAGTGTTTCAATTCATATTTTTAGCTTCAGCCAAAATAATAACATAAAACTAAATTCCTCATTCAATCAATTATTGAATATACGTTTGAATATCAGCTAATTAGAAGGGTTGTCATACTGTTAGTCCTTGACATTGATCATGTTGGCAAACTTGTTCATTAAGAGGTTCTTCTACTCCTCTGCCATCATCATAGAGTGTGCGCCTATGGTAGTAAAAAACAATTACTAGTTTATATACAAAATGAAAATATAATTCAGTTTAGTTTTGTACCTATGAAGCATCAGTTCCACTTGACCATCTTTGATACTACCTCCTCCAGTGGCCCGATCAACTAAGACTGATAATTCAGATTTCTTATCCTTAATATAAATTCCAAGATTGAGCTGAACGGGATAAAATAAGTTAGAAGTGTTTTACATCAATCAAAAAACATTTTCTAAATTCAACAACCTAGAATTAGCATTCCTCTATCTGTAATTCCAATGACTTGTTACCCATTATTGGATGGCAAAGAAAAGTGTAGGTTAGATTTCTTTTCTTCAATTGGATATTGGTTATTAGCAACAAAAGCCAAATTCCCGAAGAAATTAATTGAGTAAAGAAGTTTACTGGATAATAGTTGCCTGCAACTGGTTCATTAACTTGAAGGGGCCAATCATCCCTATGATCTCGAACCTGCAAATTTTTTCTATTAAAGTCATTTATTTTATTTTATGTTTTTTATCCATGGATGACTAAACCGAAGAAAAATGTAGAAAAGACTTACCCGTTTCAAAAAATCTCTTCCATTGGAATCAGTATAAAACTCTTTGTTTGTAACCATATTTGCTGTCATTTGCGTGATCACCTCTTTCCCAATTCCATCCTCTATAGGAATTGGACCAATCTTTAAATTTTTAAATAAAAAAAAAATACTGTCAGAACCTCATTTGTTGTACTTCTTTTTATAACTTCACAATCCATATTAGGCCAATTAACGTACGCGATATATAGAATTCAATTAAGGTTTTAAAATATTATGAATAAGAATTATTATGTGCATCATCAAATAAAGAAATCCAAATTTTAGCAGTGTTCAATCAAAACATTTTATAAGTGATAAAAAAAGTCCTTTCGTGCACAAAAAAAAATAATAATAAATCACTTACTAATTTTGACATTGTTTTTGAAAGTTGAATTATGTAACTTTTTACTGGAAAATATAAATATTAATCTCAGCCAAACTCACGTAGCTTTTGTAACTCTCTTTTTCTCTCTTTATATATCTAAACGCATCTCTTTGTATTTATTTTTTTTATATCTTTTCTTCTCTTTTTCTCTCCCATCTCTTGCTCTTACTTTCAATAAGATTTGTAGCTTCAATGAATCATCTCTATCGACAAAGCTATATTGTTGTAGACAACTTATTGATGTTTAACTTTGTGCTAGGTATTCTTTAGTTTATTGTCTTCGTGTCTAATTTTGTTAAAAAAATTAATATGGCTTTCTATTTGATTTATATTTCAAGTAAAACATTATGAAATTGATATTCTGGAAAATTATAAATTTTTATTTGATTATTTTTCAAAATATTCAAAGTAATTTTTATGATTATTTTCAATAATTGATGATGTGGAGGTTTTAGGTGATTTTAACAGTTGTTTTAATTAGGTTAAAAATTGAAGAAGAAATTTGGTGACGGTTCGTTAAAAAAAAGTGTAAATGGTAAAACTATATAAATTGTTCTAAAATCATGAATTTCATAAATTCATTTATTAGAGTTTTAGAGAAAAGCTTTTAGGGAGATATATTTTAGAGTTGAAGGATTTTTCTTTTCTTCTGACTTATTTGGAATGATCAGATTCTTTTCCTGAGTTGCTTGTGTAGTAGTTGAGTTGATAATTGAAACTGAGGAGTTAAGGATCGGAGGTCGAAGTTGACATACGATGAGTTCTCGTAGAATTATATTCTTCATCGTTCTTCCTCTCTTTCCTTGTTTATGGAAGATTAAAGGCAAGACAAGTTTGTAGATTAAATATTTTTTGATGTACATATTAAATTGTGTGTTGTTTAGTCCTTTTGCCTTTAATGTCAATTAAAGAAGTGAAAACCTTCATGTTTAGGTTTTTAGTTGTCCATGGTGATTGTAGTAGAAATTATAATCTAGAATCATGTTGATGCATGAATGTTTTCTTGTAAATTTTGAGTTGTTTAAGATATGATGATTTAATGATTTCATGTTGAGTTGGTGGTGCATGATGGTTGAATTTTTAGTGAGCAATTGTAACTCCTTGGGTGGAATTATTCTCTTCTCGCCAAGCAAGATTACGTGGCACCCAACATATGTTCATGTTCTAATGAATACCTACCCAAAATCATGATCCCCCTCAATGATAGATGTGTTGCCTAGCGAAAGAAATTTTTG